TATTAATAAGTTAGAAACAATAATCATTTCACATACCATTTTGGGTAGAAGCTTAAGGGTATGAATTGTTCAAAGAATTGAGCGATGAAATGGCCACCGTATATGTGCAGCTAGATGGTTTTTGTCATGGATTTTTTTTCATTCCTCCCCTCCCCTTGTCGGTGGTGAAATTCCTCTCGGTTCGCATTATGTTTAGACGTATTCCAAATATAACTGGGAATCAATGAAGAAATATATTGCTCAGTTCCATATCAGCAACAGCGGTTTTTGGACAGAGCTCAATATGGCTGTAGTGCGTTTATTCTTGTTTGGTTGGGAGCTGCTGATCAAAGCATGAACTCTAACATGTGTGAACCGGTCAGGTCACAGTGTGACGCCCACCTTTTACTATTCCTACACGAATATCCCAACTGATGATGCATTGTGTAATCAGAAACTAACCCTCAGAATACAACACGCGAAGAGCGGAAACAAGGACGGAGATTTATAAACAGTTACCCAGAAATTCTGTTAGTCATATCCAGGTAGGATGAGTGATCGATGNCTGGTACCTGGAGTTGTTCAATTGAGGTGACCTCGGTTCATTTGTTTAGACCGAAAGTCGTTTTCCTAAACAAACAGTGTTCGTTTATTGTTCCCCTCTAAACTGAATATGTTTCGATACCTCTTCTCATGAGAAAATATGAATAGGTTGACAAATAACATCTTTGTAAGTCGATTTATAAATCTGTTGTTCTGTTACGCAGTAACTACCGCTCTGAATACTGCAAATTTACTGACCTCGAAAGTGTTTCCATGGCAATCGTACACGGGTATTCCTAACTGTGAAAAGTTTGCTTTTAATTGTTGTTGTTTTATTCGAATAAGCGGATCCGTAATTTTCCCCTGTATTAGTAGCTATTCTGTTCACAACATGCTTTTATTTGTTCTGTGGCCCTCAAAGTTTCTGCTGATGTCGATCGCTCCATCACCTTTGACAGCCCCAATCCACCTCCAAAGTAGATAACTGGTATTAGTTTTACAGCTATAATTCAAGTCTGTTAAGCATCAATTTATACTACTACAAATCCCTAACAGTCGCATCGATACACTAAAACTCATGTTTATTTGGCGCACTGTATGGTTCATTAGATAGTTATTCCACCATTTTTATGCTTTCCACGTGCATTCTTCTACAGGGGATGCTAGTTCTACCAGACTCTAGCAAAACCATGCTACCGTTTTCCACACCCTCCAGCCTGAACTCATTGAAGTTTTTTTTTATGTGTGAATAGAACAGAAAGGGTTCTATTCAGAATCGTGATTCAGGACTGTTGTCGAAATCCACAAATTCAGCGTTACATTTCGGAAAGTAGTTCTTTCCATCTCATTTCACATGAATCACTGATAATACAGTTGCCGAATGATGCAGTACACTTACATCATAATCGGTTCAGCTGGTATCGACAGATCAACTTTCCTTCGTTCTACTTCCTTCTTCAATTCTGCAAAAAAGTATTTTAAAATGAGCAATTATCGGACGGTTTTAATTGATCCTCCCTCAATTTCGGTTTGTTTATTTCTTCCTGGTCTAGGGGAACGTCCGTATAAATGTACTCACTGTGGTAACGCATTCTCCCAGAACGGTACATTAAAACGCCATTTACAAACATGCAAAGCAGTCAGTAGACGAGATCGTATCCGTGGTTGTACTCGCAATACAGGTAGCGGGGACAGCGCGACCACCGGGCCGAAAACCGATTCGCTTGACGAGGCTGGTATCGATACGAACGGACGGTCGGAATTGGACATGATGAAGTTGGATGAAATTGACGGACGCCAAGCGACACCGGTAAGTTGAAATCGTTTAGCGGTAAAACAGTTATTGCCAACCCCCCGAAGTCCGGTGGGTTTCCGGATAGTAAACGAGGTACTGGTAGTCAGCGAGTTTTCTCCTTTGTGTTCACCGTACCTTTTGCAAGTCAAGTTGTCCGAATATCATTTCAAGATGTCCAGATATCATTTCGAGCTGTCTCGTTGACCTCATCGGCGCTGACAAGCCTCCCAGCGATGTCTGGATGATCACCATGCATCACAGGTTTCTCTACTTCCCGTCGAAGCGCGGTGGACGATTGCGAGACGTGCCTTAATCACACACTCCCCAATTTCTATAACATACATATTGGTTGTTTATCTTGCATGTCCACGTACCCGTCTGTGTGCGTATCTATGTGTTCGTCCCCCTCCGCTGATATCAATGAATCATTCACGATCAACGCTTGAGCCACTGCGTACCTCCGTCGCATGATGCTGCAATAGAATTCATAAGCTATAGTCTGTTTGTAATTTAGTCAAACCATTGGTGCAATTGTTTTATCAGAGCTCACTATAGCGTCACTACTCTGACCATTAGAGTCGGGGGAATAAGGAAAGAGCAACTGAATAAGAAGAAACCATTAGAAATCACTATCCTGCCTGTGGTCCAATTGTAACAACCCGACGATTGATTATTCATGTGTACCTTATTGAGCAGTGTCATATTGTGCATTTCGGAATATCCTTCCGCACAAGGGAGACGTGGAGGAATTATCCGATTATTTGAGGACCTTCGTTGTTTATCGAACCCAAAGGTGTCGAAATAATTGTATAAGACCACCGAGCTTTTCACTACAAATTCTCTTTGTTCGTTAGTATAAGACAAAAATCCTTCTGTAGCTTTCATCAATTAGGAACAAAGCCTGGGAAGTATTATCAACGGTGGAAGACTATACTATTTCAATCCTTGATCTCTGAATGCAGCAACTCATGAAGCACTCCTATATCTTCTGTTAAATTCCTCACTCCTGCAACCGTAGTCAAGCATTTGAGACCTTTATAATAAACTGTCATCTTATTGTGTGCCTGTTACTACGACCAATATTCAGGAAGAGGGAAATGGTCAACCAAAGGGCTGTCATATGATATAAAGACTATGGAAAAGCTCGGTGATGATGGCGGGACTCGAATGCACAACTGCCAGAACTACATGTTTGGAATTTTAACCGTTTGCTCAGCGCTATCCTAATAGGCCAATATTCAATGTGATACAATAAGAGGCCAACTAGTGGACAGGTTTGAACAGGCTAATAGCACCCGTTTGACACAGAGGAATACAGGTAATGGAATTGTTCTCAATTTAGAGACCGTGACATAAATTACACTGCACTGGGCAGAACGGAACAGATACTACACCTTTTCTTTAAACAGAGTTTCAATTTCAGTTTGAACAACCATTCAGTATGCATTTTCGAGTGGCAGTTTTTAATTGATATGTCTCTTAGCTGCCCTCTTGGATGAAGAAGTAGAGGGAAGATTAAAATGTTGGAAGTAGTGTAGTGGTGAAAAACGAAAACTGAGGCTGCACGGATATTGGTTCAGAACAGAGAGATGAGAAACTCATCTACTTGTCTTTTTGTCGCACGGTAGCCTTTTTATGGACTGCATGTGCACCTCCTGATAAATGGTGTGTACATGTATGTATAAGATAAAACAGAAAATAAATTTCCAGATAAATTCATAGACAACCAAATGAAGACAACATTGCAGTTCAATGGTAAATATAATCAGAACATATCGCAATCGACTGTTATCCCTCAGAATCGTCAAGATCAACGAAATTCACTAGTTCACGCTATCCCCCTCGTGGTCAACAAAACCTAAATTTGAATCAATCAAGTTGTTAGTGTTCATCAGAAGCTTAAAGTCACGCGAATATTACATATTCCCGGTCGACCCTTTCTCGAGTACATCAAAAATCGTTGATTCCCCAAAAACCGGTATCACTAAAACCCCACTAACCCTAGAAACTTTATCCGAATTGAGTGGTGGAGCTAAGAGGTCTCTTCGCTTGTTGCAGATATAAGTAAACTCAAATAACAACCTCTATATGAACCAAAGCAATTAAAACAAACAGAAGACCCATGCATGCTTGTAATCGGACTCCGGATAGTCTGAAGTTTGGAAATTTTCCACCCATGAGGGATAAGTGTCTTCAAGTAGTAAATAGTACGGACTACCGTTCAATGCCCAGAAACCTGCCTCTAAATTAGACCCCAGATATTTTCAACGGGTTCTAATTTGGGCTGTGGGTTACCCGGTTCCTGTCGCATTTGTTATTATTAGGGAAAAGAAACTGATACAACATCTTGATGAAAGATTCAACTGTCTGATTTCCTTTGAGAACAGTCAATCGAGACGTTCGATCCGAAAAATTTGCAGTCCAGACCATGACAAATCCCCTAAGGTAGGCTCCATCCGCTCCTTCGCAGGTCAGGCCAGTAATACTACATCAGTCCATCCGGACCGTCGGGGTTGAACTTTTATCGTCATGGAATATCACAGCATTTCATCCACAAGCTCTGATAATATGGTTTCTAATACGTTTACTAATACGTCCATGGTACTGAGTTCGTTTGCCTGTATTGTAACTTTATTGCAATTTGTAACAGTTGATGTACGCTCACACCCAAGTGTGATGATCGCTGTGAATTCGACACCTTTGGTATATGATCTGAAGTGGCATGTAAGAGCTGTCTTGGTCTTTAATCAGAAAACCTTCGTCCATTTCCATGTTTATTCTTAGAGTTATGCCGATGTGGATCGACCAAAAGTGCATGAACAACCAAACCGCGATGATCGATCTTTCCTCTTTTCAGTAATCCTTTGAATACTGGTGCTCAGTTTTTTGTGGACGAGCATTTTCCCTTACTTCATACCCTTACTTCATATCACACAGTTCTGTTTTTCCAATTGACGGGTCCACGAACTCGACCACGATGCACGACCTCGTTCACTTGTCGTGTACAACTTGAATATTGTTCAATACTGTAAAACTGGATGGATATCGCCTAAGAGATCTTGGGTACGACTGACTGACTTACACAACTCGCGTGGTGAGCTACGGAGTGCACTTTAATGATGGCTATCGGAATGGGTTTGACGCATTTCGTACCCCTAAGGGTGCATTTTCCGTGATGAATCAGTTTTTGTAAATTCATGATCACATTTCATCTGATTTCTCTCTATGATAATGAGTTGTATTGTCATCACGATGCTAAAATTGAACAATCTGAATATTTTCGTCAGGGAGATATTGGAGAAAATAGGTTGAGTTTGATGGCGTTCCGTGCGTTATATCAACATGATGTGAACTTTCATCGAGTATGCACATGTGCGAAAGGAATATGGGGTTACATATAACATGGTCATTGTTACAAAAATTTTACTCATGCATGCCGTATGATGTAACCGATGATGTCATTGCTAAGGTCGGCATGTGGGTCAGATCGGTATGGTTCGATAAGTGTGATACCTTTGCGAGGAGCTCCTGTCCGTTGGTTGCACCGTCGGACGACAGCTTTTTTGTTATTGATGACCGATTTCCGATAGGCATAGTTAGCTAACAATATGGTAATCGATTTCAATCACAATCCTTAATTTATCCAATCAACTGTAAACTGTGGAAGTATTCTACTCGAGTTTAGCTCATTCGCTTTTTTCAGTAGCAAATATCACTAACCTTTGTCCCAATTACTCACAAATAAGTGTGAATTAAATGCGACTCTAGCAGTCATTCCGGAATCGTTTCCGAGCATCCGGGTGCTGCAAACGCTGGAAAAACTGCTCATATGATACCATTACATCTTTTGTTGCTACTGTGATCGGATAGGTTCTGCCATAGAGCGATGTTTTTGTAATTCCGGTTGAAAAAGACTAATTTTACCGCTGCTTGGCTCAAAATCTCACAAATCCCACTGATACCTTTTGCTGCTCGGTACTTCAAATAGTAGGACCGAGATCGATAATTGCCAGTACTAGGTCCTGGTGATTACGAGGTTTTATTGTGAACTGGTGTAAGATGGAACCCTATATGCGCCAGTCAAACAACGCAGCAGTACTCTGTGCAGTTCATATAAAGTAATGAAGCCTGGTTCGATTGGAAACAAATATCTGATGAATCCGTTATTCGTGTCACTGGTAATGCGCACTACAGTACACAGCCAGTCGTTGCAACTGCCCATGCTATTCTGTGACACGTAGTCGAAAAAAATGAGGCCACATTCTGTATTGATATCTGCGCTGTGCGAACGGGGGCCGATCACAGACATGCAAATTAGTCTCAAGGACAAAGATGAGTGAAAACGACTGCGGTGAACATATCTGAAGGAACTGTAGATGTGCAGAACACTTCATTACCCGGGGAAAAGCATAGCAGAACCAATGAGGGATCCATACATCAACCGAGTTACAAGGTTATTACATTCCCGTTTTAGAACCTGAGGACGTAGCAATAAATGAATGTAAACGGGATAGTTTAGCACCGGATCATGGAATTGATATTTTATTCAACGATACACTCACCACACTCATCACCTCAGAGAAAAGGGGTTTTACCAACCGAATACCACAACTAAGATGAAAAACAAATTTTCAGAATATAAACGGGATAGATGAATATATACAAAAACCGCGCGAGACCAGAACACGATAGTTTGAAAACACATTGTAAATATACAAACACACATACACATTTAAAAAGAGTATAGAACCCAAAAGTTTATCACTAACTGCTCATAGATGACTACAAGTATTTGCAAAAAAATTGTTCAGTTGAAGTGACTGCTGGCCTTGCAAAACAGTGCTTTTATGATCCTTGTTGCTGTTTTTGTGAGTTCACGACGGAAACCGGGAATACAAGTTCAGCAGAATTCGATGATGACGTACAATAAGGAAATAAATGAATTTGAATGAATAATGTAGCTAAAAGTATGTATGAACCTTACTGTCCTGCGAATGGCGTTATAATATGTTATATCTCCAGTCGTTGACTGGTTGAAAGAGGTACTTTTCCCTCGTTAGGATATATCGGTTCCATGAATGCGATCAGTAAATCAGGTTCGGAACACGATAACAATTGGCATCCTCCAGTGCCACTCAGTCTATACCCTTCTTTGCATTTGCTAATGACAAGTTACATACCATCGGGAGATATAGCTACTTAAGGCAACATCAGCTACAAATCGGAGCCCCCCCCCCACATCCCATACCCTCCAGTTTACTGCGAAATTCTTATCACACATGGCCACTTCAAAAGTCAAACAGTTGCAGCGATGCTCACAAACTACTTGCTTTTTTCGCTCAGCAGTATACTATGGTTCGAAGTAGTATGAGTTCCTTTCTCAACATCTGCAAAAGCCCAAACAGGCTGATTCGAAACAACCTCATTCACATTTTGAAGATCGATTTTAAATGTTGAGGAATAATTCCGTTTACGAATCACAGCAATCGCAGCGAGTATTTCGAGCATCAGGTCTGGTCGTACATGCGTACGCTTCCATGAAAACCAAGGGTCAATCTATACTCGAGGCGGATCAATGTTTTTTCTATTTTCTCTTCAATCGGAAATACTCCCCGATTGATCCAGCTGTCTTCTATCTCTCTACCTCACTAAGTTTGAATTACCTTCTGTCCTCGCACACTTAAATACGACCAGTACACACGTCCGTTGTTTTCAAGTATCAAACCATCACTTCACCTAGCGGATTCCATCCTCGACCGCATGTGCGATATAGAGTGTCTCTCATTTCCGCGACCTTGTACAGCAAGTCCAGCCAGCCAGCCAGCCGGTAGGTTGACGCACACTCGGTCCGTCGACCCTGTCCAGCCCGGCTTAGTCCAGCGCAGTTCTTATTCCGCGCACTCCCACTCGTGTTCTCCCAGTCTTTGTTCGCCGTCTTGTGCTCACGTA